AATCACTTAATTCTCGCAGTCTCAGAAACAAATCAAACTGTTTCGCGATGTAATATTAATGATTCTTAAGATAAATCATTAAAAAATATTAAATTATGTCATGCAACATCAAGAAAAAATTCTCAATATCAAAAATAATTATATCTATCGCTCTCTCAAGTTTGTGTAATAAAATAGTATATCTTAACAGTAAGAATATACTTTTTTATGCTTTAAGTTAAAAAAAAGACTTAAAAATTCAACAGATGTTAACATTACAGAAGAGAGCAAAATCAAATGCGATGATATGACGATTCCGTTTGTTGCTATGACGTGCGGGACTGCGAGCGTTAAATCTCATGCTTAATCACGCACGCGATGCTGCACACATACGCGCGCTGAAACCATCGCTTGCAAGAGCTTTATCATCGCCGAGAGAACTCGAGCGTGAAACCGGAAGCTCCGGGCGACCCTCAAAAGAACCGTCTTTGCCTCCCACGTGAATCGTGGCATTTAACCTCGTTTCAGACGATGCTGAAATTCGCAGAAAGTTGAAGGAAAATATTTATTTACTGGAATCAATTTTTTTATGATTAGAATGTAAAAATTCCGATCAAGATTCGAAATTTTGTATGGAAATATTTCGCATCTGCTTGTGGCGCAGAGCTAACTTAAAATTTGCGAAATTCATCAAAATGCAAAAGCTACTAGAATTAATTTCCAAACTAAATCAGCTCGTGACGTTTGTTTCATGTTTAAATAAATATAACATATGCTATTTATAATATTTAAATGTTATATTTAAATAAACATTATAATGGTGCAAACATTTATCAATATGCAATCAAATACCGAATAATTTACATTTAACGCTACTGAGACTTATTATCATTACAATTATTAATAATATCACTACAAATTTGTTTCGTGAAGTAGCGCAAGCTCGATGTTGAGCTTCGTCGAATTGTTTAACGCGGTAAACGTTTCCAAGGCCGGGCTTCGCGAGTTTTCTGCGAGACTTTCATCATCGTCATTCGCGACCGAACGGCTGAGATCGAGAATAAGCCAACTTGCGTTGTGTCATTCTTATTTTCTGTTTCGCGTACCAGAAGTGCAGTCAGGTAACAGTCAACGAGAGAAAGGAGGGTTAGAACGCATCGCACCACCACGAGTATCTCTCTCTGTCAGAAAGCTACTTCCTTTTTCTAGACTTGGCACGGCCGACACAGCTCGTTGCATGGGTGTTACTGTTGCATATTGCGTGTAGCGTGTATGAGTGCGTAGAAAGATGAGCCTACTCGTGTAACACACATACTCGCGTCAGTCACAAAAAGCTTCACGCGAAGTGGCGCGATCGGAACAATGGAAAAACACCGCTTTCGCATTTAATTAAATATCATTTCATTAAATAGAAATAAATATATGTGTATTGCAATTCGATATATTATATTATTCCATCTCTCGCCAAAGTTATTTTTGTGAACGGGATGCTTCTCTAACGAGTTCTCGACCGCTATTGTTAGTGCAAAAATTTAAATGTTAAAAAATTATTTTTAACAAATAGCTACATAGCTACTTTTTAATATGAAAAATTATTTTATTTAACAGTAAAAATTATAAATATTATTGTTTGAGAAAAATGGGCAATTAAACTTTTCTATTTTTTGGATGATTCAAAGTATTTTGTGTACTTAATTATCGCGTTGTTTAACTTAACGTTAGAAATTTAAACTAAAAAATTTGTATGCAATTAAATTAGTATTTCTTAAAAATCATGTTTAAATTTAAAAGACAGACTACATTTAAAAATATATAATCCAGCTAGCTTTGACCGCACAAAACATCCTGTATATTAATAATTAGCAAGTATTGCAATTAAAAATTCGTGAAAATTCTCGAAAAATTCTACTTACATCTGGACATATTCAGTTACAAAAATTGCATACAATGTCACCATTTTCTTCCGCTCGAGAAATTATGTTAACCCCGACGAACCCAACGTGACAATGATAATCTGTTTCCGGCATAAACACGCAATAAACAACGCCGCGTGAACCGCATTAATGCGGTCCGAGTGTGCTGTTCGATGTATCATCACGGTTCCTCCTATTTTGCTACAAATTACATACCAACCATACATATAAACCCTCCCATACACACATATACACCGAACGTTTCATTATACTGCGAAGTAATTCACTCTGCGAAGTAAACTTGAACGGTTGCAGAAAATGAAACGTATAAATTTCAATTATTTTAATGCATGAAATCTGAATCATATATCAAATTATTTTTTCATGTTAAAATTTATAACCAAAGTTTTATCTTATATCAATTAAAACTATATTTAGTAATTTTAATTCAAAATATGTAATACTTATACGAAATTAGTTTTTATAATTGCAATTGTTATAAATACTAAAAATATGTAAAAATATTAAAATTTTATGAACTACAAAAAATGTAATGCGCACAAAATTTAAAAATATAAATGTAAAATGAGTAATAATTTTGTTTAATTATCACAATACAAAGAATTATACGTACGTCCTACATTCGCAATTGCAATGACGTACGCAAGTGAATTCGCAATCCACCGTACCGCAGATTTTCCATTTTTGACGCGGTCTACTTTGCAAAGACAATGAGATCTTGAATAGAATGATTAAACAGACTTAAATGTAATTAAATACAGTTGGAAAAGAAAAAGCATTTCTATAATATCCAACTTGACCGAAATCTTAGTCTCGTTTTATGTTATAAAAGTTGTTTTCAATTTAATCGTACTTTTTAACCATATTATTCAACCGTGTTTAACTGTATAGATTTAATTTTTCTCGCGCGCGAATCTCGTTCAAAAATTCATAACGGCGCGGCTTGAACTTTGCATCGGTCGTTATTGATTATTGCTTTTCCGACACGGAGAAAAATACTCTTCGAAACACACACATCAAATATACATATATAATATATATATATATATATATATATAAAATGTTCCAGACCATCCATTACCCGTTAATAGCAGAGAGATTCCTAAGGTCATTTGGACACTAAAATTTTATATCAAAATGTCGAGGTTGCAATAGTTTTTAAATGAGAAGTATTTAAATACTTTGCATTTAAAAATTACTGCAACCTTGACATTTTGATATAAAGATTTTCGTCTCCAAATGACTTTAGGAATCTGCCATTAACGGGTAATAAAACGGTTAATCTAGGACATCTTGTATATATATATAAAATACAGATATATCTGCATAAAGCAAACACGATGCACAGATCATGCGATGCAATCACATTTCCTCTCGATTCTTCAAAGGATCTATGCATGTTTTTTTCTCTTTCTCTGTAACGAATATACGTACACACAAATATACATGCAAGTCAAAAAATTTGCACACACATTCACCGATTTTCGTATTCACTTCACGTTAATGCATCCGCATACGTCTTTTTTCACTCTCCTCTCTTATTTTCACGATAATATTTCTGCCCATGGCGTTTATCACATCCGGTTCAACAAGTGTATCGCGGAAGTTTGCCAACTTTGTCCAAAATTCTACCCGTTTGTCACACACTTGGCGGTTGCCAACAGGTCTTTCGCTTTCTCGCGCAGAATGTATCCATCCGTTGTTTATATAAAGCGACTTACCACTGTTGATTTGAGAGAAATCGCGTTTGTGTCGTGTAAAATTTCGACATTTTTTTCCGACATATTGACATTTTTTAAATAAAAATCTATTGCTGCAATACGCATTTTTAAATATTCCACAGTGCTCATCATGCAAATATTTAAAAACCAAAATGCAACAAAACAGTTCATCAGGGTGTAATTCTTTTATTCAATAATTCTAAAACAAGAATATTTATTTAAAAACCTGAAAAAGTTGTATGACAAAACATTTCGTGATAACATTTTTCGAATAATTTTAAAATAATTTTTCGTGATTAAAAAATCTGTTGAAATGTTATTTGCGCATTGTAGTGGAATTCTCGCGTTTCTCGATAAAACCAAATTCAAGTAAAATTTTAATCTGGATTTGCTCGTAAAAAAATTCAGAAATAAGAGTAGAGGTGGAGGGAACGATTTTTTTTAAATTTTTTTATGAAAAATTCGTTCGGGCGAGTCGTCGCGTCATGGGCGGAAGGTTTTAGTCGGCACCGATCGCAGCGCAAGCTGCGAGGCAGCTTAACCGGCCTGATGGGAAGTTTGTGAACTGTTCTCAGGGGTGGGCGTCTACATCTCGCGAGTGGAAGAAGGCTCGGTGGCGGAGCGCGCCGGACTCAGGCCGGGCGACACCATCCTGGAGGTGAATGGCACACCCTTCCGCGCGGTCACCCACGAGGAGGCACTCAAGGTAAGTCCAAAAACTCTTTTAATTCATTCAAGTTCCATTAGCGCCCGTCACTTCCAAATACGTTAAAGACTTCGTGAAATAGAGCAGTTAATTTTTAGTACGCGATAATTCTTATTATTTATTATTATCTGTTATTTCCATTGCCAACTCCTTAACCTCCCGTCTTATCAAATTTTCTTCTTACCGTTAGCGTTTTGATCTAAATTAATTTCAATATTAATTAATTTTAATATTATTGACTTCTTCGTCAAAGTTAATAGTATTGATTCAATATTAAATATTTCATTCTTATTTTAATGCTAATCAGATTAAGATGTAACAATGAATTCTTGTTATCTAGAAAGTTTTAGGAATTTAGATAAGATTGGAAAAATAGTTTTCTAATTGTAACCATACGTTACTTCAACTATTTGGAGAACTATGTACGAGAATGTAAAGTACTATGTCAACTTCACCTCGACATAGAATCGTAAAGAGTTAAAGTAGCTTACAATCTCCTAATTTGGTCCTATTACAGCGCGTTACTTCTGAAGAAGTTCGATCTCGTTAAATCGAGGATAAAGCAGTTAATTTTTAGAATGCGAGAATTCAATATTGATATTAATCTCTCACGATTTTTAAAACCTCGCAAATTATCGAAATAAACTTTATTTGGATGCAAATCTTGTTTTGTCAAAGCGTTTCAAAAAATGAAGTTTCGCGAGAATGTGACTGGATAACAAATCCTTTATTGTTGAATTCTATCAAGATTGAAGGCCAGAATTTAATTATTAAAATATTAAAGAATTAAAGATTTTTCTAATAAATATAACAATTTACTATAATTTTTCCTTAAAAAAACTTGATTGCAAATTTATTACAAAATCTACGTCTTGCAAAGTCTTAATTTTCAGAATATGTTATTGAGATTTGACTTCCAAATTAAAAATTCAACTTCAAAGCATTTTAATACTCAAAATTATAATTCGCGATTCAATCGTGGAATAAAAAATTCCGCTCTGAACACAAGTTTAAATTAGCCCGAGTGACAGAAGAAATGATAAAACTCCCGGTCGTCATTTAGATTCGCGAATGTTTTAACGCCCACTGTCTCCATGCGTAGTAATTAGGAGCTTTTTGCCAGAACGAGGGGAGAAGCAAAAATCAGCAATTAGAGAGAGGACCGTCCCAATTAAAAGTCTGCCGCCGTCTCCAGATCTGGTCCCGGTCCGAGTAATCGCGCGGCTGCATCTGATATTTACGACTGACCTTACAAACGGCCTCATCGATCCTCGGACGTTCCAGTTTAGCTCTCAATCGGATTAGAGGCAGCGGCAAGAGACGCGCGGTATCTCTGCATCCGCGCGCAAATAATTGGAGAACGGACCACTCTCGAAATCAGCTGTTTCCCTGCCCATTCTTACCCCCTTTGTTACCAGCTTCTCTTCCAGTGTTTCTCAATCTTTCCATCGTTTGCGTTCCGTTTTCCGAATTTTATCTTTTATCAATTGAAAGAAAGAAGTATGACAATTTTTCGTCTTTGATATGGAATTATTGCATATAAAATGTCATTTTTGAAAAATGAAAAGATACTTTTATAATCTCAATCTCTCTTTCATAATTTCTTTCGATTAAACATAAAAAATGTTTCAAGAAAGAATAAACATAAAAAACATCTCGATATGTTAAGATCTGTATATTAATATTAATTATCTTAATAAGTGTAAAAAAGTGTAGAATTTATACTGTCAGCTTTTTAACGTCAAAACTAACTTTAAAATACACGAATAATATTAAATAAGTTTTTTAATTTTTTATATTTTCATAAATTTACTATAGTTAAGAAATTGCAAATATTTTGCAAACTCAGAAGTTGCTTTTAAGAAGGAAAAATGATATCTACTTTATAAAAGAATTCCATAAAACTGGAACTCTTTCGGAACATGACATTTCATACGTAATAATTCAATACGTGGACCGAATGTGGTCCACGTTGCGAACCTTCACGCTGAAGCATCGCCGAAGGACGCCCTTTGATCTGCAGGGTAAACGGTTGAACGGAATATCATTGTCACCCGGTTAGCACGCTCGACGCTCTCGCAAGTGGCAAACACTAAGCGGATATATTCGCGCATACAAAGTTAAGCGTCGCCCCTCACTCTCTTTCCCTCGAGTGGCAATGTGTGAGCCGATGTCGAACAAGAAGATTCAAAAGAGCCACTGACATTCCACATAAGTTTAAATGCAAAATTAAGAAACTTCAAATTGAGAATCAAGTTGACGTATTAAACTTTAATACGGGAAAATCGAGGAAGTTCTCAACTTAAATTGGCGCCGTTAATAAGATGCGCGCGTCGATAAATTTTCATATCAACAAGATGGATTTGACATCAACGCGATTTCGAGCTGTAATAAAATATGTGAGAAGCGTGAAAATATCTATTAAAAGTTGAAAGTTAGATGAATGTAACAATGCATTTTGCGTCGAAATTGAAATTCCACAGTTGTTTAAAAAGAATTTTGAGTCCTACACCTTTTTACAATTTTCTATTTTTAAAATTCCGATATTTCGAATATTTCTATCATTAATTTTATAATGTATCTCATATAATTATGAAATTAGAATCTTTTTATATACAAAGAATTTTAGAGTATGTAATTTTAAATTTTTAGGGAATTTTTAAAGCAACCGCGTTCAAAGAGATTTTGCTGTGAGCGAATCTCGTGTCTTTCAGCTGACCAGAGAGACTAGGGATAATGCCCGTTCTCGGCAGTCCTTTGTTTTGAGCATCACGAGTGCATCACAAAAGGGAACAGTTCTATGCGAGAGATAGTCGTCGAAACCATTTACACCGGAGAGATTACTCGCGGCAGTTTCTTCCACTCGAACGACTCGTAACGGTTCTCTTCGATTCCTCACGCAAGCAATGTTGCCGCGCGCTTGTAATCTGCATGAAACGTCAAAAGTGCAATCTGTGACTTCTCAATTTTCAATATTAATTAAAAAGTTTAGTTTTACTCAATTTTCATGTTATTTATTTATAATGTTACTTGTAATTATCACGTTTCTCGATTGAGAATTATGTGCTAAGATTTTTCAGAACTAAATTAAAGAAATTTTTATTATGTTTTTTATTATGACAAGGCTCATTATGAAATTGATAACAAAAATATTCAGAATATCAGGACTTCCAAAAAAGAAAATAGAAAATTTTTTTTGTACAACTATATTTCACGTTTAGTTATCATTTGTATTTATTTGTCGACATTTTCATCGGTTTGCCGCCGGCGCGGTGACTTTTCACGTATGAGGAAGAAATGCTGAAAGAGTCGCGCAGAAGAGTCGATCGATAATACGCGTGGAACGAAAGGCAAGGATATAGGTCGAGTTGTAAAGACTTAGGCTTTAAGATATTCCGGAAAAATTGCTGTCATGGGAGGGTGAGCGAATGAATCGTGGCGATCTATATCCATCCCCCGTGATTACCCTTTCTCGCATCTTCCACGATACGTGCCTTCCTACTGAGTCGAATCGATCGACTCTACATTCCTCCCCTGGTGATATGTAAATTTCTTTTCGCACACGCACAATACGCCGACTCCGTCGTCTGACACGCCAGGCATGTGATCTACTGATGTTATCGAATTGTAATTTAAATTGCGAAAAAAATATTATAATGCAAAAATAATTTAGAAATACTTATCGAAAAAATTAGAATAAAAAGAGAGGTTCTGCATTGTAATTTTTGCAAACAAATGTAAATATGCATATGACAAATTTAAATGTATAAATGTAAATATATAAATAAATAACAAGTACAATAAATATATTTGCATGTATTTACATTTGTTTAATTATTGACACTTATTTATTCACTTTTTACACAATCGAGAGCGAGAAAGCAAAGTTCAAGCTCTGAGGGACTCCATGTACCACATTGAAGGTTAATTAAGCGCTCGAATACGTGGAAAATATCTACACCGTGGCGCAGGAACACCCACGTACATATAGGGGCGCTCTTAACGTAAAAAGCACGAAAGCTAGACCATTTATTACGAGTGGCGCTTTTTACGAACATTACAAACCGCAATATACTTTCGAGTCACGCAATTTAACTTTTTTCCCCAAAAGTGATGTTTTCAATATTTCGCAGTTTGATTGCGATCGCATACAAGACATTTTCCAGAACAAACAAAAAAAGCAATTTTTCTCTTCGGAGTAATATTTAGCAAAAAAATGCGCTGCATAATTGCGTCTTCCTTTCGCCGATGTTTCATCGATTCGGCTTGAATCGTACTAATCTCACGAAATTCAATAAATCTTCCGGGGAAAATGTTTGTGAAAATGTCATCTTTTATTCAGTGAAATATCTCGCGCTCTTTCGCGACAGTTCAATAAGAAAACTAATATCTGCATAACGCGTGAAAATAATCTACATGTTTCGCGAAAATTTCATGCGCGTGGACATCGAATAACTTTTGTTTCTGTCACGAAGTCCATTAAATGCCAATGAAAATAAATAAATAAACATGAATATTGATAAAAGCATATAAATATTAATTTCCAATTTGATTATCAACAAAGTAAAGGAAGTAAAATTATGGAATCGACAGAAAATCAATTCATTTAACAATAATTTAATGAACCTGTATAATTAATGAAAAAATATTTGCTAATGCCAACAAATTGTAAAACAAGTAGAATATTAATATATTAAATAAATTGACTCAATAACGCGAGAGTAATGAATCTTACGGAATTAATTAAAAATTTATTTATCAATTTAAATTTTATATTTATATTAATAATTTAATAACTGTATAATTAATAACAAATATTTGTTACTTTCTTTATACACGAATTTATGAAAATAATAAATATTTCAATTTATTCTTCCGATATCGTGAGATTTAACTCCAAAGTGAAACTTCGTCTTGTACGACGTCTCGACGAATAAACCAGACGAAATCACTCTCGGTGCCCGTCGGTGCGTCGTGAGGAGTCGTAAAGGATAACGGTGGCGGCGAGACTCGTTATCCCGTAATGGCTTGTCGACGACGGAGAGATGTTCGTCGTGAGAAGCGTACGCGCGTTTGCTACGCAAACAACGACGCGTTCTCAACAACGAGTTCCACGCGTTTTCCCGCCCCTTGCCTTGTCGAACGACAACGACGACGACGACGAAGACGACGTATCGGCGCCAGGCGTCCCGGCGCCCTCTCTCCGGTCCCGAGAATTCCTTTCCCCGTTTATACTCTTTACATAATACACGAAGCTTCCGCGGATGCTGCTCGGCTTTCTTCGAAAGGGAAAAGGGCAGTCGATAATTGAGAGGCGTACATGTACTTCGGGAATGAAGAGGCTACTTTCGGCATCTTCAATTATGCAAAGCCCCGTTATTATGAGAATTCACGATATTAGCTGTCACACATTTGTTTTACGATTGCTTCATTTATCTCGTTCATATTAATGTGCCAGCTTTATACGGAGGGTGAATTCATTTTTAATGCGCATCCGATGTTAAATTTTACATTAGCCGAAAGAAGAAATTATGTGAGTTGTCGGGAAATACGAAATATTTTATCAAATAATCTTTCTAAAACTCTAGCATCTAATATGAACTCTTTTTAGTAGATTACAGCGCTTATAAATTTTTTGTCTATTTTTTTCTCGTAGAATTCTTATTAAAAAATCTGATATTAAAAATATCACTGACAAATTACCGATACAAAATTAATTAAAACAGAAGTCCGATATTGCTAACACATTTTAAATCGAAATTCGATAAATTTCTAGACGCTCTATCCTTTTAGAACTCCGCGAGACACGACTATTCCTATTCAGTAATAATCCCAGCACGATCTCGCCAAATGAAGAAGAAACTCCCTCTCAGAGTCTGCCGATAAAGACTAACTCCAGGATGTCGGAAGCTATAACCCTCGTAGCTTATCTCATCAAGCAACGGGGCGACACGCGATCAGGGTCGATCCGAGCTGACCCAGAAAGCGTAGATTCGTCGCCGGCAAAAGCGATCGGAACGATATCCGCTGGCCGGATGGCACCATAACTCGCGAACTGGTCATAACAGATAATCGCTTTCGGTCGGCCGAAAATGTGCCGCGAACCCTTCGCGCACGCCGGATGACGCGAGCGCCGGAAATAGGGGCTTCTCCATCGCGGACGTGATAGTTTAGTTAGATAGTTCAGTTAGATGAATAATCGAATGGCCCGCTTCGACATCTTGTCTCATGAATTATTTATTCAATCGACTCGCAGAGATGGACGCCGATCACGAAATCGCTATCCGTCTGCTCCCCCCCTCGACGGTTAATCTGATATTAATTTCCCTCGTACTGCGCGATAAGACAGAGTTAGGGGAAACTTCCCAGTTTAAAGATAGAGATATCGAAGATTGATCGACAAATATGGAAATGCGAAATATATTCCTTTTAATACGATAAAACTTTAGTACGGAAAATGTAGTTAAAAATGATATATAAAATATTAACAAGATAATTAACAAGAATCGATGCAATTATCTTCACGCAAATAATCTAGCATTTTTCATTACAATTTATGAATATTAAAGTAGTCCACTACTCAAGTCAAATTTTGCAAATTTTATTTCTGCGCGTCTTTTTCGCACACAAAATAGTATATCCAATTTGCATAACGGAATTCGGGGGTCACAAAAATTGAAATAGAAAAGGAAGTAGATAGTTTACGATAGTAAACTTGAAGTGCGCGCATATGGGATCGAGTGGCAAACGCATTTGCGAAATGTGATTCCGCCATCGGGCGCCATCGCATTCGCTAAGATGAAATGACAATTTTACGCTCTCCTGCTCTTCGGCATCTGGTATTACGATTATGAGAAGGGAGAAAGGAGCTATAATTTTCCATCTGTCACTGGATGAAAAATTCTGTACGCGTGCTTGCGAGAAAAACGAGTCCTTCGCGAAAGAAGATGCCGCGAGAGAGAAAGAAGGGGAAAGAAGGAGACCCGTATCCTCGGGAATCGCGGGATCCTGAGGACGTCGCGATCCGGGCTGGGTCAAGGATAGGGTAGGATGTGACGTCACGAGCTCCACCAAGAGGATCGATATCCTGCTGGCTGCCGAGTGGCGTCACTACCGCGATACGCGTTCGCAGTTTACTCTTGCGTTAATTTCGTGTACATTATCTGAAGACAAACCCTCCCCCCATATTTAGGAGTTTCTTCGTTAAGTTTCATTATCCTTCCGTCGAAATTTATGTACCAAATTTTGGTCTCCTGCATCCTACATCCTATGTAGAATTATACATGAAGAAATTTATTTTTATGTCATCTTTTTTGAGCTCCCCAAAAATCTTGAATTACTTTCATATAAAATACATGAAGAATAAAAAAAGAATCTAAAAAAAGAGGATCTTATTCAGAGACGAACGGTACAGGGACTTGGAGGACCTACAGTTGCAAAGAAGCATACAAATTGCTCTTCCGCGAATTTTCGCAAGAAATTAAAAACCTTAAAATATCAAATTTTGTATTATAATTTACTTGAATCTTTTCTTACGATCCTAAAAATAATTCAGAGAAAATTTATCTAAGATAAAGTAGTACTTAAATATATTTATTATGTTTTTATGTTTTAATAATAATAAATTGTAATATTCCGAAAGAAAGTTTGTTTCCCAAACATTTCTAAGCTTAATTATCAAGATATTCAATGTTGAAAATTTATTACGATAAAAAGTATCAAAATTTGTGTAAATTTGATCGTTTTATTCTTTAATAATGTATGTCACGTTCTTCGCGTTCCGACAGATGCTGAAGTCCTGCAGAACCCTGAGTATGACGGTGCGCGGGCCCGCGCTGGACCCGCGCTGCCGGGGCGGTCACCCCGCGTGGTCGTCGTCGGGGCGTCCGCAATCCTGCAGCTGGATGGACCGCCAAGGTCGTCCAGCATCCCCGCCGCCCCAACACCCGCCCCGCGACTCCCGTTACGGGCCTAGGACACGGAAGGTCGAGTTGTGCATCGAACCTGGCCAGTCCTTAGGCCTGATGATCCGCGGCGGCCTCGAATACGGCCTCGGAATCTACGTGACCGGCGTCGACAAGGACAGCGTCGCCGATCGCGCCGGCCTCCTCGTGAGAATCACACTTTTTTAAAGTTTTTCTACATTTTTCATGACTCCCAAGAGAGATCTTGAGACGAATTTATGACACTATCGCAATTTATATAGAGAAGAATATATTCTGTTGCTTCTTCAAACAATTTTTAATAATTTTCTGAAAACTATTAAACGCATATTCATCAGAATAATAGTACAATTTACCATTTTCATATATATAAATGATTAATTTCTACTATTTTACGATAACTATTGACTTCATCATGGAATTATTCCGCTTATTTGAGTTTCAATTATCCCATTAAATTCCGACTATAAAATGGAACGTATTGTAACGATCGCAGGTGGGCGATCAAATCATCGAAGTGAACGGACAAAGCTTCGAGGAGGCGACGCACGACGAGGCCGTCCAGATCCTGAAGACCAACAAAAGGATGAGTCTGCTGATACGCGACGTTGGCAAAGTGCCCCATTCATGTACCACCAGTCAACCCATAGTTATCCCGACTACTCGGTATTCCGAACACGATCCCTTGCTCCTGGAGAGCCCCGGGAACCATCGTCCACCCAGCCCCGCGTAAGTCGGCAATATATATTTTGTTATTTAATCTCTGCGCTTTATGAAAAATAAATTTCAATGTCTGTCACAATTTACATTTTATAACATAATAATATTGTTTCAAATTATTTGTCGTATTTAACATTCATATTATGCAAATACTAATTCTTGAAAGAAAAAAGAATTAAAAAACACAAATAAACCTTATTTCAAAAATGTAAAATTCAAATTCGTAATTCATCATTTCCAAATTCTTGCATTATTCTATTTCTCATATAACTATGCTAATTTTGCATAGTAATCACAGTGAAATTTATCGCAATAATACGAGCATAATATCCGTTGATAGATCGGTTAATTAAGTTGCGAATATATCTTGCTTAATTAAAATCAACGTATCATCGCACGCTCGACAAAGATCGTACAAATTTCAATACCCGCACACGATATTTAATCACTATTCATATAAAGCGGATTAATTCAAACAGTAATTTTGAATATAAATAAAATCCACATGTTAAATTTCGTATTCGAGGTGTATTAACTCTCATTCTTCCGCTTCGTGTATTCATCGAATTTTGCATAAAGTAATTTAATAAGAAACCTAAAATTGATTTTTTACAAATAAAGGAGCAGCACGAACGAGTGGAGACATCGGGGTGGCGTTCATACCGTTTCAGCGGCCACCGCCGCTATGGTGGAGGAAAAGGCAAGAGTTGTGCTCGCTAGGAGCGAGCGAGCCGCGCTCTCGCAACTCCTGGCGGATTACAGGACGAGGCGGCTTACGATAGAGGATCTGGTGGTCAGCCTGGCAGATCTGCTCAATACTCACGAGAAGCTGACGCTACTGACAGAGCTCAGGGAACTCGTCGACAACAAGGACAGAGCGGCCTTCGACGACCTCGTCTACCGACCCCGAATAGCGATGACTAGGGTGAGTCTTTAAATAACGTAATTCTAATCATTTTATTCTGAAAATTCTCTTGATATTGTTCAGAAGAATGTAAACATTTTCAGAAAAAAATATTTGAATTTTTAAGATCTTTTTAAGTTAGAAGTCTAGAATGTGTTGAATTTCTTCAGTTGATTAAATCAAAAACCCAAAATATTTTTCGAATATTGTTATAAAATTCTGACATTATTATTAATATCAAAATGCGGATAATGTTCACAATAAAAAATCATTAGCGTTCATTAAAATATGTGTCTAAGATTTTATTCTCTTCAAAGTATTATGAAAAATTTGTAGCAAAATTCTAACACTTTTAATGTCAAAGTACAAAAAATATTCAGAAAGAAGAAAAATACTATAATTCGTTAAAGAAAAATATGTACTAGAATTTAAAATTTTTAAAAGCATTATTAGACTTTTTGCGAAATTCTATAACATTATTAACATACTTAAATTACTGGAAAAACAATGTTGTGATAAAATGTATTTAAATTTATGAAAATTTATACGGAACATATGCGCAAGGTTTATCCATTATTAATGTTTAAAACTCTAATTATTATTCTGCGGTTAATGAATTCGAACCCCGAAATAATTGTCGATAGATAAACCAGAAATGCAATACCTATTATCTGACTGTTATCACTGCAATGATAAAATAAATTGCAAAGTTCAAAAATCATAAAAATCATAAAAGATAAAGTAAAAATACATTTCTAACAAGTTTCTATGAAAAAATATTTTCAAGTAAAATATATGAGTTCGTTATCTACGTGCATATTTTTTTAGTACAATTATGTGCGGAAGTATAATATCAAAAAGAAAAAGTATATAACTACCAACTTACAGAATTATATAATATCTGAGCTTTAAAGCACCAAAAGCAAGTGCTTTGACTAATTCAGAGTAAAAATCTCTTCAGCGGAAACTAACGATCGCCAGCAATCCAAACTTTCAAAATTGCACGAGATAGTTACTTAAAAGAAAGGTTTTCTTCTTGTCTTAACTCGACGTTTACGATTATTATGTCATTTCACGGAGCGTGAATCGCGCGATAAAAGCGGAAAGCATTCTCCGCGGAGTCCAGCGAGAGCGACTTCAAGTCGGTTCTTTCCGTTTCTTTCAGAGAAAAGGAGACCGCGCTCACTCAGACTTGATAGTGACTCCCTCGCTGCACGATCTTCCGGTAAGTTTAACTCAACCCTACGACACTCTATTCATATCCTACGAGCTTACAGACACACATACATATCTATGTAGACATAAATCTTGCGGATCACATGCGCGTTTGCGCGCATTGTTATTCGACCGACGTACACACACATACACACGCGTGCACACATATTTTTACTACTATTATCTCTACGATATGATGATGTATGGAACCGACTTTCTCTCTCTTTTTTTCTTCTCACTCACACTGTTCTGTGGATCTCTCTGTTTGCCTTAATTGTCGAGATACTCGGGAATCGCTCCGCGTGCCCGCCCGATTGTCGACGGACTACTTCGTGCGAAAAGAACGAGGGAAAATATTTCCCAAAAGCTCCTCGTCACGCGTTCCTAATTGCGCCGCGTTAAATTCTCGTTTTCTCGAGAACGAGCGAACGAAGGAAAGTCGAACTCCCATGAGAAATGTTTAACGATGACAAATAATTCATAATAAAAAAGCACCGTAAACCACAACAGTCAGTAGAATAAAAATCCAAAATAATTGTCGCGACAAAGAGTAGAATCTTTAATTAACGTATCTAATCAGTGTGCTCATTATTTCAACTGAGATAACAAGTTGCTCACAAGCTGCATATTTAAAAAAAATAATTTTGACGTAAAATAAAGTTATTCTAATTTTAGAATAATATATATATAAAAAAAATCTGATTTGTTTCAAAATTATTTTTTCACATCTGGAGCTTGTGAATAATTTAATTCCTAATTGATTAACAAATAAATCTATAATTCTTGTAATAATATAAATTTATGAACGTAACAGAGATTCCAAAAGATAAATTTATATTCTCATAAATTGCAATTGTACACTGCACGCAACAGAGACTTCCAAAATTGAATTTTGTCAAGAAGATGAAAAAAATACTCAACATGAACCAAAATATGAACTTCAAAGATGATTGATGCGTGGAAACCAACTCAGAAACGCGTTATTGCTCGTTATCGACAATCGTCACAGATGCGCGACCGACAGTCGGAGAGGGATGGAGAATCGCGCGATTGAGATATATCGATTGGAGAGGTGCGAGGGAACGGAGAACGCCACGCAGGAAGACGCTCTCGCAAGGAGAAGGAAGATCCCTCGGCAGGGATGGGAAGATCCCTAATCCTTCCAACGGCCGTTCGCAAAAAAAAAAAAAAAAAAAGAATCCCGTCAATCTCGTCGCTCTCGATCGAGAGCGCGCGCATTGATCGTCGTTATGATCAATCGCTTGTCCCCCCCCCCCCCCCCCGTTCGATCGTGCTGCTCTGTCGTTATCTTCTCCTCGGCAAAGCATGACTCGTCTTTTAGGAAAATGACTTGCGATCCCTTCGTCTCTTTCTCTTTCTATCTCTATTTCTCTCTCTCTCTCTTTCTATTTCTTTCTCTCTGAGAATAACAGCTGCTCGACGATGAACAAAGCTCGCTCTCGTTCAGGGAAATATCAAACTCGTTAAACAAATAGTGCGATACGAGAATCTATTCCGTCGTACTTTTATCATCGTATTTTTAATGTCGCACTTTACGAGCAAAATAATCGCCATCTGTCGGATTTGAAAGCTAGGCTTTGGCTAAACTTTTTCTACTGAATAAAAAATATACGTGTGCTAATTTCAAGAGATATTAAAATCAATTTATCTATTTAATTCAATAGGTATTAAATAAAGCAGTATGAAAGAAGAGATGCGGAGGAAATCACATGCTGCTCAAGCGTTCATATGCCTTTCTTTTTTTTTTTTTTTTTTTCTTTGGTTTTTAAAAGCGAACGCTTTATTTATTTGCATATTTTAGCGCTTAGACAATTCCCGAATTTGCAGCTATAGAATTAGTTGTAGCGAATCGATTAGTAATTCATTATGCATTGATTACGCTAACTTGTTCGATCGAACGAATTTTGCTCGTCCGACCGCAGCTTTTTTTCTCGCAGCTCTTTCCATTTCTTTCTCTCTTTCTTCAGAAGTGCGCTATGGGCATAACTCTTCTTCTACTTGTTTACACCTCTTCTCTGGGCTCTTGTTCACTGTTAGCGCTATTATTATTGTTTATACTATACGTATAAGCTTGCTTACATTGCGCTACCTTGCTCCCTGCGATTAGTCAGTGCTTGTCGGCAATTTGAAGATCGATTCCTCCGACATTGACCTCGATTATCTTATATTTCTATTATCGTCACAATTAAGAGAACAAAATAATTAATTGAAATATTTTACGGTCACAATCGGAGAAATCGATAGCGAATGATTGAGGGCGAAGCATCAGGTGTCATTTTATTGCATAATTATAAATTAGTGATTTATATTATAACATGATACAAAAAATTAATTGTAACATAATTATAATATAAATTCCATAAACAAAATGTATGATTTGTACATTTACACTTTGTAATGTGAATTATGATTATGTTACAAGCGATTCTACTATACTATATTTACACGAACGCAATCGAGACGCGACTCCTTGCTGCAATCGAAACGCAGATTTACAATTAAGATCTCACGTCACGAGACGACGCGCTCTTTGCACACGCATTCTCTCTCCCTTCTCATTGTTAGTCTCGATACGATCTGTTGAATGCCTGCTGCTAACAGACAAGTAGAAAGCTGCTGTGCTCGCCAGACACCAACTTCCTCTCTCCCTCTTTCTCTCGCTCGCGAAAAACCGCATTTCAAAGGAATCGAGATGTTCGTTTTATTTTACGAATTCGTGAGATATCGACTTAAACAATCACGCGTTGAAAGAAAGAAAATATTGCACGCCGATGCAAACGAGATTGTCGCGAGTCGTCGCTTGCGACTGACAGATCGAATCGACGACGCTCGGTTCACGACGCTGCGGGTCGATCGACTGTGCATTCGCTTCTGGCGTCTCGCCAGTCTGATCTTGAAGAGACGACGCGGAGGATCCCGATGGAGCGTCGTAAATCAAGCGTCAGCTGCACACGGAGACAAATGTTGCCGGCGCGGAACGACACGCGACACACCGATCGATGATGGATAGTTGTTCAATTGCTAATTTCGCCGGTAATTTCGGGCTAGAACGGATTTCCGGATGGATTCGACTAATCGACGCCCAAAGTTTAATGAGCCGTGCGAATTTCCAATGTGTCTTTTTCGAGAACATAAAGAGAAAGAAATAGAAAGAAACAGATATACATATTTTTCGCGTCTAAATATGCATTGAGTGCTGTTAATAAATGATTCTTATTACGCGTTTGCAATGTAATTCAATTATTCAATTATTAATTCAATTTTAATTCAATCGGCTTAGTGAGCTTTATTTTATTTTCACTGCAATTATTAATGCATAACTGCAAAAAAATTATAAAAAATAGCTACGTATGGGAATAAAAATCCATCGACACACGTTGATAAAAATCAGTTCTTCGCGTGAGTGCAATATTGCCTTAATTATCTTGCCAAGGAATGCCGATAAAATCATCGATCGGTCGATCGCTCCTCGTTCGAGGAATAAAAGAAAAGAAGGAGGGAAATTCTCCTTTTTTTTTGTACGCGGAAAGAGGGCGCACGGCATGACACGGACTGATCTGATTTCCCGCAGAGGGGTGTGCCCGGTGGTTGTTGCCGTCCGGGACGACTGGTGGACGTCGAGGGAGATCCTCTGGGAGTGACGGGCCCTCTTCTACCGCGGGATAACCAGGAGTATAGGTCGCCGAGCGAGGACAGCGGTCTCGGGGCCGACATGCCCAGGACCAGGTCCTGATCACTTTAATCCACGATCTTTAATCGCATCCGGAGAACCGCAAACTCCCATTGCGAACGGCATAATAATCGAAGAATTACTATTCTCAATTTGATCAAAACACTTGAAAATTTTAATTTAAAGTAAAAATTTTTTTTCCAAATTTAGGTCAAAATCGAAGTAACTGCGAATGAGATGCCGATTCAAAATAGCGACGGCGGTTCTTGCGGTCTTAACTTCTATCATGCTTGATATAGCGATCCTTTGCTTGAGTTTGTCGTGTAAATACGCGAGGAGCTGATTAGTGAAGGATATACTGACTCACTGACGATCACTTTCATCCGAGTAATGAGTTTACAAAGTGCGGCTGTTTATATAGAGTGTCCGTCAACAGATTCATCAAATCCTTCAAATCAAATTTATCGGAAGATAAAACAAAAAATTTTTAATTAACTATGACTACAAAATCAAAATGGCTTAAAAGAATAAATCAAATTTTAAGTTTAATTTTCAAATAAATATTCAACGCAAAATATAAAAAAGGAACAAACGGGCTCGAATTTTAATAATCGTTAATAGGAAATTAATTCCAAATTTATCGCCTTATTATTGCTATCAGTGCGACACCCTATATATGCTATTGAGCGACAATTTACTTTCGAGGCGCGGGAAGGTCACGCGGCGTGTCTGTCGGCCAAAACGACCGACAAACAGCTGTTCATACCTCGTTCCGCTTCGCGAGCGGCGATGATCGGCGAAGTTGCTGAAGCTCGCGAGGAGTTCGATCGCGAGGAGATCGCAGGTTGGCTGAGAGGCGACCCGCGAGCGGACAGGGATTAACGTTAATGGCGTTTCTCTGTAGGATACACGCGCGGTACATCGATATTTCATTTCCTGCAAGTCGTCTCCCCCCTCCCCCCCCCCTTATCCCGTTCCCCGCCCCGCTCTTCGACATCATAGAGAACTAGTAGCTGAGAGAACCCAGGTATGTAAACGGACAGCTGGTTACATACACAGGGCACTTCAGCATTGGTTCAATGCACTTCACCTTCGGCCGCTGCGCAATCCGGCCGTCTCGAGAACGCTAATGGCTGTGTTACCTTCGCTGCTCCGACAAAGTCAGCGGCTCATCCTACTGCATCCACATTGATTTGCCGGTTTTAGTGGGGAAATTTAATTTCGCAGTACACGAAAAAGTAACTTTTCCTAACTTAAATATTTGCATCGCTGTTAACAATCTTGTTAGAACTATCGAAACTACTGAAACTACTGAAACTCTTTTACTCATTTTATACGTGTTTTACGGAATGTAAATGTATTGAATTAAAAGTTAATCCTTTTCCTGATTTTTAATTAAAAACTGACCCTTTTTGAGGACTAAAAATAAAATTCTTGTTAAAAAAATATTTAAATTTGAGACAAATTTTATTTCTATTAAATTCAGTTAGTAATTTTATCACCGTACGTTCTAAAACTTGAAATAACAATAACAGTGTTACAGTATTTTAACTTCCAACTGGGAAGTATTATCTCGCTCGTAGAGCTTAACAAAGTTAATTCGCGAAACCACATTTTGCGTTCATGCAAAAAGATTTATAATTGTAAATATCAAAAGTAAATGTATAAGCCTGCAACTAATCGTGCGACGTAACAAATCGATAAACTAAATATTCATGAACGCAAGAAATTCTACAGTTGACATTTCAAAAGAGTCGATTCGCGTCGCGATGGCGAAAGTGGAATGCGCGTTTTGTGAATCTGCGGGACGAGCGCGAGGGGCGAATATCGCGCCGACGAAGGTGGTGTTTTCCACGTGGCGACGTGTGGGAGGAAAATCGATAATCGAGGTGTGGATTTAGTCGGCGCGGCGGGAGCGTACGACGGGAAAGACAGTTTTCACTGTTCTCGTTTTCCTCTCGAGCGTGCGACACGCTCGGACACGTCGTCTCGGCGATCGACGCACGCTCATGCTTTCGATTTCGCGTGTGTGTGAAGCTGGCGTATCATTTCGCGGAAACTCACAAATAATTAAGAGTTCTGACTTTATTTTCAATAGTTCTAGAGTTCCTGATAGTTTAAACAAATAGTTCTGGCCATTAAACCAACGAAAATGCCTCAGGACAAACTGAGACGCCAACTTCACGCAGCGTCTCACTTTGTCCTACGACATTTTCCTTATCAATAATTGTTGGAAATTAAAAGATTTATAGTTCTACAAGAGTTCTAAGAAGAGTTCTGCCTTTTAAAAGCAAAAAAATATCAATAAAGATAAAATAAGAACAAGCGAATCCTTATATCTATAGATATACAGATGAGACGCTGGTCGATTTTCAAGAGTTCTGCTTATTCCAACTTAGCTCTCGTATAGTTCTGGGCATGCACAATGCCTTTCCAAAGAGTTCTGATAGTTACAACAATTAGAAATTAAAAAAAAAAATTATTTTGCCCAAAAAACGTATTCTTTCAGGTATAAAAGTGAGACGCTGGTCGATTTTCAAGAGTTCTGTTTTTCCAACTTAGCTCTCGTATAGTTCTGGGCATGCACAATGTCTTTCCAAAGAGTTCTGATGGTTACAACAATTAGAACTTTTTTTAATAAATTATTTTGTCCGAAAAACGTGTTTTTTTAGGTATAAAGGTGAGACGCTGGTCGATTTTCAAGAGTTCTGTGTATTCCAACTTAGCTCTCGTATAGTTCTGGGCATGCACAATGCCTTTCCAAAGAGTTCTGATAGTTGCAACAATTAGAACTTTTTTTAAAAAATTATTTTGCCCAAAAAACGTATTCTTTCATGTATAAAAGTGAGACGCTGGTCGATTTTCAAGAGTTCTGTTTTTCCAACTTAGCTCTCGTATAGTTCTGGGCATGCACAATTGTCTTTCCAAAGAGTTCTGATGGTTACAACAATTTAGAATTTTAAAAAATAAATTATTTTACCCGAAAAACGTGTTTTTTCCAGGTATAAAGGTGAGACGCTGGTCGATTTTCAAGAGTTCTGTTTATTCCAAATCAGTTCTCGTATAGTTTTGGGCATGCACAATGCCTTACCAAAGAGTTCTGATAGTTTCAACAATTAAAAATTAAATAAAAAATTATTTTGTTCGAATAACGTATCTTTTCGAGTATAAAGGTGAGACGCTGGTCGTATTTCGATAGTTCTATCGATTTTAAATGACATTTCGCGTCAGGCTGTAATCACTTTTCATTTCAATGAAGAGTTCTATGCGTTATTAAAATGTTAATGAAATAAATTAGATCTTTCGAGGCGCTGGACGTATAAATACCGAGCTATCAAGGTGAAACGTTGATTGTTTTTCTACAACGTCATGGACTAAAAATTTTTATTTTACTGTGTAAGTATATTGTTTTAAATGTCCACGCCGTGATTCTGGATTATGCTAAGAACTAGATAAGTACATTTAAAACAATACACTTTTACACAGTGAAATAAAAAATTCAAAATCCATGACGTTGTAGAATAATGATCAGTCTCATCTCGATAGCACAATATTTATACATCCAGCGTCTCGAGAGATCTAATTTGTTTAATCAACATTCTAATAACTTTTACGCATAGAACTCTTCGTAAAAATAAAAAGTGATTACAAACTGACACGAAATGTCACTTGAAATCGATAAATTATCGACATACGACCAGCGTCTCACCTTTATACTCAAAAAAATACGTTTTTCAACCAAAATAATTTTTTAAAAAAAGTTCTAATTGTTGTAACTATCAGAACTCTTTGGAAAAGCATTGTGCATGCCCAGAACTATACGAGAACTGATTTGGAATAAACAGAACTCTTGAAAATCAACCAGCGTCTCACCTTTATACCTGAAAAAATACATTTTTCGGATAAAATAATTTTTTTTTTATTTCTAATTGTTGTAACTATCAGAACTCTTTGGAAAGGCATTGTGCATGCCCAGAACTATACGAGAGCTAAGTTGGAATAAACAGAACTCTTGAAAATCGACCAGCGTCTCACCTTTATACCTGAAAAAACACGTTTTTCGGGTAAAATAATTTTTTTTTAAATTTCTAATTGTTGTAACTATCAGAACTCTTTGGAAAGGCATTGTGCATGCCCAGAACTATACGAGAGCTAAGTTGGAATAAGCAGAACTCTTGAAAATCGACCAGCGTCTCATCTGTATATCTATAGATATAAGGATTCGCTTGTTCTTATTTTATCTTTATTGATATTTTTTGCTTTTAAAAGGCAGAACTCTTCTTAGAACTCTTGTAGAACTATAAATCTTTTAATTTCCAACAATTATTGATAAGGAAAATGTCGTAGGCAAAGTGAGACGCTGCGTGAAGTTGGCGTCTCAGTTTGTCCTGAGGCATTTTCGTTGGTTTAATGGCCAGAACTATTTGTTTAAACTATCAGGAACTCTAGAACTATTGAAAATAAAGTCAGAACTCTTAATTATTTGTGAGTTTCCGCGAAATGATACGCCAGCTTCACATACACCGATTTCGCGGCTAGGAAGCGGCGGCTGGCTGTTGCGCCTGCACGTGGAAACTTTTGTTCGATTATTATTACCGCGAAATGGAATTCTAATAATACTGCGTGAAGAAGATACTTCGTGTCTAGATACTGCCAATTGTTGCATTTAAATAAATTTATTCTACATCGAACGTTTCAATGATTAATAACTTCGCATTAATCAACGGTTATTATTGACATGAAATAGAATTCAATTTGTTCAAAAATTAATATTTAATTACTACTTAATATATTATTCATTACAGATTATTCATTGACAGATGTTGTTTGCTGTGCAATTTGTTTATTATCGCAAAGGTGTAAAACAAATTATTCGGGAAAATTATTTGCCTTTCTACTACAATTTTCCGCCACGTCTCGCGTGAATTCGCGCCAACTTTCTACACGAATACCGCATCGCCGCGTACGTAGATACGCAGACCGCATTGAATCATACGAAAGTCAATTTTGCGGGGCCGATAGTGAGCATGCGAACATCGACAGGATATCGTTTCAGACAGGAGCGGAGGATGGAATTCGTGCGAGCAGCTTTGATAGCTTTCACGTTAGTTCGCTCGCCAATAATAAACGGACAGAGAGAGAATGTTCCAGTTTTGATCCTCAGCCTTGTTCGCCGGTGATTTCAATATGTGCCTCTGTTCGTATCCCCCGATCTAATCTTTCTACCTCGAATTCTCTGTGCCTTTTGTCGTGAGCGACCGAACTTTCTTTCCGTCACAAAAAGCGTATCTTTCTCTCTCGATTCAGAGAAGAAACTTTGCATTTCGCCGCGTTACATCAGCAGAGAGACACATTCTCTCTTATCTCTGTTTCGTGTGAAATTGGAAATTCTACATTTACAAAAAGATAATAACATTATGATAAGCAATTATATCAAAGTTTTCATTGAAATTTTCAATTCAATATAAAACGTGAATAATTTTAATTTTAATTTTTAAGTAAATAAAAAATTTATATTCACAATATTATAATCAAATCACCTTAAAATAATAATTGGAGAAATAATGATTCTACTGCAAAATTATATATATTTCTTACATGTTTTTTGCTTGAAATATTTGATTTGTACTTAATTTCTCTGATACTGCAATTACAATATTTGTGCACATTTTGAAGTTAGTAAACGAACTTTGTGATAGGAAATTGTGTTGATAAAACATAAAAAACACGAGAAGCGGGCGCGTGTTTCCTTTTCCGTAAATAGGTGAGCTGTTTATCGCAGTGACAAGCACTGCTAAAAAGTCAGACAGGTAGAGCGAGATTTCCCCGCTTCTGACGTCGCGAAACGTGTACAGAGTGTCTCAAGTAAAAATCGGTAAATAAGAAACAAATATTATAGAAACAATATTATAAAAAAGGAAATAATTAGGAAAAAATTGTTCTACATTTTTTAAATGTCAATTACTTTATTAACCAAAGTCTTAATTTTTAAATTAAAGCAAGATTCACTTTTAAATAAATAAAGCACAAGCTAAATCTCGTTTAAGTTGTCAAAATATTTCAATTTTAATTGTTCTAATAAGTAAACATTTAATTATTTTTATTGAATTGCTTTGTTCAAAGATTTTATTTGCAAACATATCGAACGATGCTTTATCAACGTTGACTTCATAATTTTGTAGACACCCTGTAGAATCAGTTTCCGCAGCGCTGTCTTAACGAGCTGAAGGGCAACGAGAGAGCCCTTGAAATTTTCACACCGCCGCGCTTTCTTACACACTAGGTCGTATCCCGGGTAACAGAATGAAACAAATGAGCTTCGGCAGTCACCAGTACAGTAATCGCATCGGTAACGAAAAGTTCGTCGCGGCACGAGCGAGCTCTCGCCAAGTTGCGCGGTTTATCACCGAGTTTTGCGATCTCATCGGCGTTTCCTTGTTAATTCGCGTCCGATTCTAAAAATAATGATCTATTTTATTACCCAGCAAATTTTCGTCTAATTGCAAGAATTCAAAAATTAGATTAAGACTCCTAATTAAATTTCGCGCTCGAGTCGCGATTTCAACCAACAGCCGCAATTCGGCCAATTTACTTCCTGCTCTTAGTAATATAATTAATTCAACATTTATAAAATACTAATTACTACTTTAATGAATATTATTTATGGTTAAGAAATTTTAATTTTATTATTAACACTTATTTTATAAAATATTGAATAATTCTGTAACGCGGAGAAACGCAACATCACGTTTTTAAATAGCATCTAACAAAAAGATTGATATCGTAAAACTGATAATAGGCAGTGTGTAAATAAGTGGGAGTAATTGGGATAAAGTGAGTAAGCGAGAATTCTATCGGTGCCACCTGCGATCTCTGAAATAACGTTCGCAGTGAGACGTCTGGTGATTTAGAAGCAAATTATATTAATCACAGTTGTAGAAAACTGCTTGGTCGCTGCGCCTCGTAACCTTCATGTGCTCCATACTGCTTTCCAACTTTTCCGGGTGAGAATCCGTATCCGTACAGCCTCTCACCGCAAACGAGCAGCTTGAGCCATCTCGAAAGTGAATAGACGCTCGTCATCAGCAAGTCATCTCGGTTGATCTTAGTCATTCATCAAAAGCTCTCTCGCTTCTCAAGCCGTCTCTGTTCGCGCAGCTCTATTTCTGAGATTCTGGGAATATTTGTGCAAATCTCTGAACGTACGTCTCATTATATCTGTGATAATTGTACAGAACAATCAAGGTCACTGTTTGATTAAAATAAGATATGTTCCATAATAAGCTTTAAACACGATCTTAAAAAGAGTAAATCCGAATCTGAATTATAACAGTTTTTCTTAATTTTATATTTAAGATCTCTGAATCTTTTTTTAATTTCCAAAAATGAATCTTAATTTTAGTTTTAGTTTTAAATCTCGCTGCCTTGTCAAAGAGAAACTACAATTAGAATATTATGTGGATGAAAAAATTCGAAATAAACTTAGAGAAGTAGGATCGCTAAAACTAGAATTGCAATTTTTTCTTCTCGACAAAAATTTATAGCATTTACCGCAAATATTTTTGTCAAAAAAAGTAGAAAAAATTTTCATTACAAGTTTTCTCGTGACTTTATTTTTAATCGTAAAACTTGATTCTTCGATAAAATACCTTTTTACCGTTCTTTTGAGAAATATGCAGCATATTTTATCTTAATCGAGAAATAACATTGTTCTTGTACCAAGCTATAGATATTCAAGCATATCTCGGTGACAATATTAAGATTGATCACCCCGATAATTATGTTCAGTATTCCGAATATGGAACCCTAAAATTGTTAGATAATTCGAATTATACCCGGTGGTCCGAAAATGGAACTGCGCGATCCACGGAGAGTTGCGCTTATCGAATCTTAGAAATATCACCTGTCAAAATACCTATTTGCTTTCGTTAGAATACATAATAGGGTACGAGACGAAGGGTAGATTGACTCGTGATGGAATCTTTCGGATCAGCAAGTTCGCCTCTCTGATACCTCCTCGAATCGAGGACGAAGTGCCTTTCGAAATTAGTTGTCGACGTCAATTTCGACAATACTTGAAATATTCAAGCTGGCCGCAAAATCTCGCAACTTTGCCGCTTCCGTTTCGATCACCTTCCTTTTGTTTCCGATCGGGGCGATCGATCCTCTGTTCCGAGGAATCGTCCCGACGACGATCCCGAAAATCGAGCTGATCAGACGAGGCGCGCGCGATTGGCATGAGCGGTCGCGGCGCGGCGCGGCGCGGGGCGGGGGCGCTTCTGAAATGGAAATTTTGCCAATTGCAGAGTGGGCTGCAGAAGGGCGCAGCAGCACCAAGTGACGACCTCCGACCTCGCTCTCTCCAATGATGACGAGTGCGACAATCAGGTACTGCGGGCGTATCCTTTGCGAACCGTCACCGCCAGCTGCGGTGATCCTTCGCGATAATTAAATTGAAGCAAAATGCAATCAAACAACATTTTTTAATTGAATTTTAAAGCAATGAAAAAATAGAAATAAATTTAGATGTGTGGGAAGAATTTCTCTTTGAAATTTAAGTAATATTACATGACTTTTTCTAGAAAATGTAGCATAAATATTCAAAAATTATACTTAATTTTAATTTTTAAATTGCCGCAGTGTAACAAATGGACCACCGTGTGGCAAAAAGATTCGAAGGGATACGCTTAGAAAGCCGCTGGCGATAATTGCGATTTTTTTTAATCCCGGACGAACGATTGTGTTGCGATATTTTCGTAAAAAAAATACTCATTACAAGCTGCCTCGCGATCGATCGGGATGAGACACGGCTGTGTCCTTTTTTTCCAGGACTACGACGACGAGATTGAGAATGGACGAGGTCGCAGACATAGTTCTCCAGGCGGTTCGCGGGGCAACCCTAGAGATTACGGCCACCACCTGCACCCGGACAATTTGGTGAGTCGACCGGCACAAATCCGATCATCGTCACTTCGAGACACTTCCCTGTATTCTCTCCGAAAGCCAGCCGAAAAGTTCCGATCGCGCGTGCGATAATAAATCTGAATTGACTTTCATTGAAATCTGAAAGTTTATGCATAATTCGGTATTATAAATTTATGTTAAAAAAAAAGTTATAAATTGCAAAATCTCTGACCAATTAAAATGTACAATAATATCAGCTATAATTATAATTACAAATTGCTGAATATTTTAATTAAAATATTTGATTGCCGCTTGCCTCGAGACGATCTGAACTTTTCCAGTGGCTGAGGATTTTTATTTCAAGATAGATTCACACCGTAACAGCTTTATCTTAGAGTAACAAGAGAGCCGGAAAGATGAATTAGCCCTTCCTTTAAAACGTATAGCGTCGTTCTAGGTTTCTTCCCTATAGCATTAGATAAGCGATCACACGATCATTTCTCAGGGAGAGACGCATGTTGTGCGCATGATGCGCGCGAAAATGATGCAAGAATGATTATGCAGAATTAGTGTTTACAGAGCAGCCGAGTATCGCGTGTTGTAGGCAACAGGTAAATCTTAGACGCTCGTTTATCTCATGCAAATTGCATCTTGAGTAACGTCTAGAAATCTGTATAAATTTTAAAAACAGATGAGTCTACAAAATTTGCATAATTTTTTACGAAGTGTTCAAATCAGTAGACGAGTATCAATTTTTTCCAAATATTATCAATAAGATACATTATTTTAACCTTTTTATTATATAAATATGACTAACAAATTATTAAGTAACTCCTAAGAATACAATCTTACTTTTTTCACTATATTCGATCTATAAATAGATATTTTGTTTCATCTGTGTTGTGTTTTTTTGCTTTAATTGATTAATTGATTTTATAATTTATTAAATTTCTCTAATCCCGTGAACGAGTAGTTAAAACGGAAATCCGCCAACACACGTGTACAATCGGATTTTCGCCGAACGGCCTCATTTAAATTCACACGCGACGCGCTCGCGTAACACAGCGTTAATTTCAACGTTTAATTTATACACGCCGACTCGAGTACAATTATTTACACGTAATATGCAGAGAGTGTATCGTAATATTTCAGGAATGAAATCTCTTAACACATTTACAGTTAATCTTCTCTTACTAAGAATAAAACACCTATAATTTTCGTACTACAAACAATTGAAAATAATGTTCTTTATTTTAAATTTTGCAAATTTCGCAAATTAAGTTTTAAAAATACAAGTAGAAAACAAGACTTTATTTCTAACTTGACTTTGAATAAATTTTATTCTCGAAAAATTTTAGTATTAAAACTTAGGAATTTTTGTTTTATAATTTTTACTAAAAAATCGACACCAAATTAATTCATTAGAAAACTATTGCTGCAGAATCTTCAGTGCGTTACGATACACTCTGTACACGCGTTACGTTCACAGCTGCGCAATTGCACCTTTCGTTATCCTTGCGAAATCCAGAAGCGGAACTGCAAACTCAAGCTGCAGCAAGCGCAACATTTTCTAAATCGTTTTTTCGTTCCACATTGACTCTCGCGTAAGCTTTTATGTTTGTAAAACTGATCAGATAATAATATGTAATTGCAAACGCAAATTCGCGACACGATCGTTAAAGTCAGCAGGTTGTCGTCATAATCCATGTCGTTCGTTCGCTCGATATCACCATCGAGATGTCGTAATCAAAATAGACGCGAGGTTGCGTAAGAAAATTTAAATCGTAAATATAGAAAGTATACTTAACAGAATTTAATTTGTGCAAATGTTCTATTACGCAATAAATTACGGCAATCGCAGATTTATTGAGGTTTTATGTTATAATCACAAACCAATAATAGCTAATATAATGATAATAAAAAATATTCAAAATTATTTATCTCACCGCTATTTTTTTTATAGAATATCTATTTCAATTAATGCAATTTATGCGTATTTTTATTTAAACAATTTATCTACATTTCATGGAGAGCGCAAAAATCAATATACGTACTTCGTATTTGTAACTTGCTTTATGTTGAATACATTTGTTTTTCGTTCTATTTATATTTATTCAAAGCATATTTGTTTAAATTTTCACTATCTATGTGCTCTGCTTTTATTTCAACAATCTTTCAATGTCATAGAAATTGTAAATATTAATATATACTTCACGTTTATAACTTGCTTTGCGTCAACTGCGACTACGTGCGACCACGAATTTTCTGCAATAAATCCCTGAGAGATGATCGTATAATCGCATCGATACCGTTATAATGTTATTATAGGCGTAGGCTCAAAGTGGTAGATAACTAGCCAGCCCACTTAATCGTGTCGTGTATAATTCACATTATAGACGATTATAGTAGCCCATACAAAAGGTGGCGATAAATCAAGTTCGTGGCGTGAAATGTTTCGCGTTCTTGCGTCTTGTTTTAACGATTCAAATAACAATTGATTCTCTGTGACGATATCTGTCGATAACGAGTTTGATAACGGCAAGAATAATAAAAGTAAATAAGTAAACACTATCTTTAATACAAAAACAGGTACGTCAAGCAAGATGTTTGATATTTTCCGGCGATTTAAATATTCTCCCGAAAATTTTATTTAAAAAATTAAGCCCAGAGAAAATAAAAGCAAACTAATGGAGAAATTAACTTATAGGAATTTTATGAAAAGAAAGTTGATTAAAAAATAACAAACTTCAAAAGACAATCTCGAACACCATCTTGCGGTCCAACAAACCTTACTTTTCTCAATTTTCTTCTTTTTCGCTTATTTGCCTATAAAAATTCTTAAAGAATTCCAAGAATATATTTTAAGACATGTCTTTAGACTAATTTTTTAAAAGACAAAAAAAAAATGTTCAATGAAAAATTTATTATTTAAAAACCCTTTGAAAAATCTTTCTCGCGAGGAATGCAAAAAATCCGCAGTGTCTTTTGAAAGCAGCCCGTAGCATGGTGTTCCGTGGCTAATACCAACACGCAAAGGGCAGGAAGAAAAGGGAAAAGGGAAAAACTTCTAGGAGATTATAGCGAATTCGCGCGATGTATGAGAGGGTTCAATGAGATCTCGCTCTCAGGTAAAGGAACGCCAAGCGTAATGCGAGCAGGTGCCGATGCGAAACGGACCAATGAAAGAGCGGGGAGCACTCGGGCAGCCACGGTATTATCTGCTGATGCGAGAGATGATTTCGCACTGAAAAGTGCTCTACCTATCGTTCCGTTCCTCCGGAGAGAATAACGACTCCTATCGATTATTACACCGGCTCTCTTTTCTGCCGTAAAAAATCCGAACCGCCTTCTCAAAGATAGACGCGTAAAAAACGAAGTAATGAAGAAACCACGATTTTATGAGGAACATCATAACTACTTTTACCCCGCAAAGAAGCTCTCGGACGGAATCGCGATGGAAGGAAAATGCCAATTATCAGAATCTCTCTCTCGACCTCGAAAAATTCGCGATCCAACATGGATGATTGATGTATTACATCAAATTAAAAAATTAAAATTTAAAACAATTTAAACTTGAATACAATAAATTAAATTTTCTTGATTTTAACTTATTCACTCATTAATTTTAATTTAAAAGAAACAAGATAATTGTACATTATTATATTTTTAACAGATATAAAATAACAAAAGTCCGACATTAAACATTATATTTTAATCTAGCGAATAATTTGTCCTAAAAATTTGAATATTATTTTGAATTGCATCAAGTAAAATGATAACTAAATGTTTCGTATTCCGAAACAGCAAGTCAGCTCGCGTGATGTGTTTTTTTCTCTGCAAAATGAAAGAAAGCTATGCATCTGCGATTTTCACAGTTATCTCCCAATTATTTTTCGATTCTTCGCACATGAAGATAGAGAAAAAAGTGCAAATACTACACGCGAGAGTAGAGGCGATGTGCAATCGAGATAATAGCGAGAGCACAGATTGCGGCACGGGATCGCGTTCGGAAAGAATCAGAAGTCAATGCCAAGGTCGGCGCGATATAATTAAGATAATAGTGACGAGCTAGCGCAGACCGCAACGCCGAGGTCGTTATTCCGATTGCATCCTCGCGCTCTCGCGGATTTATATCCACCGATACCTATATTTACATTCAAACGCGGTCGTAATAACCGCCACGAAGACAATATAATTTTAGGAAATTATTGATAGCCTTAATTAATTATTGAGGCCCTGACAAGTCTATTAATAATCCGTACGAAATTTCAGCGAGTCGCTTCAAATCGCTTTGCAATCAATCGCGATAAATCCAATATGTATAATTGTGTATATAATAAAATCCATCACTCAAAAAAATATTTCGCTGATGTAGTTAGATTTCTAGATATCGCAACAAGAATGTATCGCTATTTTTCGTATCTGTGAAAACATTGTTTGTCACATATAGAATTTATAGCAGTAATGTTCTAGCAATAGCTTCTGAAAAATTTAGGTACCATTGCTAAATGTTATTCATTGCATAATCTAACACGTGATTGATCTTATATAGATAGGCGCTTTAGAGAAACTTTCTTTTTAAAGTTCACAATACAGATATATATTCTGTTTCTGTCATCTAAACTGATTAAGTAATTACATATGCAATATCACAACAGTTGCTAATCATTTATCTGTTTTAGTTAATTTTTTACACCTAGAAAATTTTAGCTATTATTGCAAGATCATTTTTTTGAGTGTATCTATGTATATAGGAATATACATTTATAAAAGGAACTCAATGTAGGTTAAATAGATTTCATTCGAAACTTATCTACAAAGTTATTGGGAATGTAATATTTACTTAAAATCGAGACTCAGAAATTCAGGTTGTAAAATAATTTCGTCGTTAAACTGCGACGCGAGTTTTATAGAAGGCCGCGTACGTCATACCGATATAGCATTCGATGAAATGCGGCTGTCGGGGAGCGTAAAAACTTCGACGCGAAGCATGCAACCGGGCAAAAACCGCTTCAAAAGGTTAATCAACGTGC